TAAATTAAGTTATATACAATATTTAAAGGTAAGAAGACTTTCTACCAATATAAAAACATTTTATACATAAGGGTAGATTATCGTTTACATCATTTTTAAAACAAAATGAATTCAAGCACACCTATCTGTAGAAAATATAAATAGACGTAACTATAAAGAAAGTATTAGTCATAAAACATAAATCTGATGTTAAATAGAAAGCTACGTTTATTATGCATATTCATTTTAATACAAACATTCTTAATTGAGACTGAGTTTCGAACATAAATGTAAATTTTTTTAAGATACGAGGGAATTGCAAATATATCTACATTTTGGACTTTGTATCATTCATACTTGGTTAAATCGATATTATAATATGATTTAGTTGTAAGTTGTTATAAAAATTATGTGTGCCTATTTATTTGTGTGTATTGAAATAAGAGCAATCATGAACAGTGCACAAATTTAGGTTAGCGAGTAGTTACAAAAAATAGTTTAACATTACATAAATGTTTACTTGTTTAGTATCAGCAAAATAACACGCAAATTATTCTATGAATTTTTAGAAAATGTCGAACATTTTTTTAATGCAATAAATAAATAATCAAAATTTAGAGCGTCAGGTCAAATTGAAGTATTGTTTATTTAGTTGAATGTATAGAATTCTTGATGAGGCGCCACTGGTTGAACGTGAATGCATTCAGTACACGGCCTACTTTTCTAACGCTTCAACTTTCTCCGAAAGTTTTACGTTGTCGTCGGATATCAATATTAAAAAAGTTAAATTTCTCCGTTAGAACGGTGGAGAGATTAATTCTATTCTGTTCGAGTTCGAATCCGTTACGCTTTTTAAATCCGAAAATTGTAGAAAAACCTTCTAAAATGGTAAATTGCTTTATTAGTAGCGGTCAATTTCGTACGGATTTCACAATTGCAAATGACGTCGTTATTAAAATTGTTGTAGCTATAGTATATAAATATTGTATGAAACAGTCTAATTTTAAAAGCCATTAGAAAATAAGTTTGCGCAACACCTTAAGCGCTTTAACATTAATATCAGCACAATAAACCAGGAAGTGCGTCGGTTGGTTGGTACTTGACTATCGTCTCACTTTGAGAATAAAAAAATTAAAAAGTGAAGCACCGATAATACTCACAGATTACCACGAATCTTGTAAAGACATTATGTAAAAGACGAGGATACTTCTACATTAAGAAGAAGAAAATAATAAACAAGAAGTAGAAAAGAAGCAGTAGAAGATTAAAGCATTAGAATACTCATTAATTAACATGAATCTTGTAAAGTCATTGTGAAAAGACGATGATATTTCATCATTAATAGAATATACTTATAGTAACAGAAATGAGATGATTTAGACACAAAAGAATAAACAAGAAGTAGAAAAGAAGCATTAGAAGGTAACGCAGAAGAAAAAGAAAAAAGGATAGTAACTAATGTAAAGATTATTAAAAACTATAGAAAAATTGCAGTAAAAATGACAGTATAAAACAATTTAGAGTGTTAGAAACGTAATAGAAATTTCGTGCACAACGAAACATTCAGTTCAATTAGTACAGCTTCCATAAAATTATTCGATTTCATTAATACATATTCGAAAGGCTAAATTATAGAACCTTTTACAGTGCAACTAATTACATAAAATCAATGTTACGAATTGATTCAAGGTAGTGTTCAAGAATTTTTACCATATATTACACTAGAAGTTGGCTTTTTGTGAATGGTAATTACAGCACCGTATTCAGTAAAGCAAAAATAAAGTTTTTTATGACCAAACATAAAATACGGCTAGTTTCTCTACTGTACAAATATATTAAAGGTCTTCTTGTTATCAGAAATCGACAACTTTTGAGATTGAGGACGAAGCTTTCAAATCTACATATGCAAGTTAGGGATGTTGTTGAATACAATACGATTTCTATCAACAAAAATTATTATTATCTGATTAAAAATTTAATTTAAGTAACAACTAGTTTACCACTTTTGAGTAGATCTCTACATATAATGATAAGAATATTTGGTAGTAATTTGTGCAAGGTAATTTTATTTATGGTTATGTAGTGAATACCTAAATATATTTGGATGTTTGTCCAACGTAATGTACCTTTATAATTTTTTATTAGAAGATTGGTATTTATTAGTGTGGTCAGTTTTGTGGGCCATTTTTTTAATAGGATCAAGCAAACAGGTTTCGCTCGAGAATGCGTCTTTCTTACCGTTAGTACTACAAAATATCCTCGCACAATATTAAAGAGAAAGCCGGTTCTGTAAGTAGTTCGTACCTTACTTACAATCCATGTATGATCAAGGCCGGATTATTTCTCGTAGTAGTATATTACATTAAGTGAATCATCTTTTTTTTACTCCATTTTTATTTTCAACAGGTAAGTTAACCTTGTGTTAACAGTTCAATGTTTTTGTATCACCCGTTAAGTAAATAATTCAGATGAAATTGGGCCTGCGAGGTGGCGCATTTAAATTTTAAAATGCGTATATAAGGATAATGAGAATATGCTAAATACATAAATTATAAATATTAAGTATTAACTATTATCGATTGTGTTAATCATTCAGAATTAGTAAGGTTACTCCAGGAACGTTCGATAGATGAGAATGACCTTAAAATCGTAAAAAACCTTTATATAAATCAAGTGGTATCTGAGAGAGTAGGACTGGAATCTACACCATATTTCTCAATCGAAAAAGATGTACGACAGGGTTGTGTTCTGTCACCCCTCTTTTTTAATCTTTAATCTGAAACGATTTTCGATAGAGCCGTAACACTGAAGACGGAATCAAAATTAACGGACAGACTATTACTAATCTTCGGGGCATCGCAAGAAAGAAATACTCATGGCTTAAAAACATAAGGGATTGGACAAACCTCGATGCCAATGCACTCTTTAGAGCCACACAAGATCGAGAGGAGTATGCCAGAATTGTTGCCAACATCCACTATTTGGATTGGACACCATAAGAAGAAAAAGTATTAACATTTATATCTATGAATTGTTATAGATTTGGATTAAATAAGTCTGCCTAATATAAATAATAGTTTCGTAATGGAATCCGTGCAAGTAGTAACTTTTATTTGATTTCTATATTTTTCATACATCTAGTATCGGCTAGGTAGTCTCTTAATCTCAAACTACTCTTTGGTAATTTCTCGATCTGAATGTACTCCATTGTCTGTACTATCCTATACATTATTTTGTGTAGCTATAAATAAGTATTTTGTTAAAGTGTTTTATCTTCTCAAAAACAAAGTCATTTATATGTCAAATTTCATTGACATTTTTATATACCATTTAGTTTGTTAGACAATTTCTGAAGATCTAAGCATTTTAGGAATAACGTAAGTACATATCAACGTAATTGTCACACTTAAAAAACTTAATCCCAAAGAAACCTTATTTTTTCGTTCGCGTGGAAAAAGATTATAGCATTTAAATGGATGCAAGTTCTTAGTCCTACTAACAGGTCGATAGCTCGTTTAGTTTTAATCCATTAAAGCGTTTCTTTGGCTTTATTGCCAATAAAAGTGTTTTCATAGATAAAAGTGAAATTATATTCTTTTCGTAGTAAATTTATAATGCAAGACATTGTGAAAGTCGAAACTATATATGGGTGACAGCTAGATATCTCTAGTTCAGTTGCTGAGAATGGGGAATGTTAAGGCCATTGGCGTAGAATGCTCTTCTATAAGTTATCTAATAAACCAAACCATTTGTTTGCTTGATTCTGACCTTTTTCTTTTACCTGTTACAAATTTGATAGTAAGTTCTAGATTTGTTTTATTTTTGAAGTCTTTCATATCATTTTACCATCATGTTCTAAGTCTCTTTCTAATTTTCTACTGGACTAGTATGATATCCAGTTCTGATATTTATTGTTAATTACTCTTTCGAAGACGCCTATTAATATATTAATAGAAACAGTTAAGAAACAGTTTACTGAACCATTAATTCAAACACGAATAGAATTTATTTATATTGGATCCGATTACCATACCATTTAACTTGTCGTTAGTTATAGGTACGTATAATTAAAAAGTAATTTTTTCAATAAAGACAACAAAGAAATTATCAATATTAATAGACAATTAATATTAGTATTTAAAAGAGTTATGGACAGTTGTTCTTCCCAAGGCTGTTATTTCCACCGACTACCATAAATATAAATCACGAATGCCTTGATATTTATAGGTTACATATTCTTCTTCCTGTAAAACTGACCTTATATATGTATTTCCGGTTTCATGTCAGGTTAACCTTCTTTTTTTAATTAAATGGTAAATGTGCTATTCTTGTTGCTGCCAGGCATTTAAATACGAAATTATTTTTACAGTGAGGTAGGCATTTACTCAATTTAATAACAACAATTATTAATTTGATTAATAGGTTCTTTTTTTATCTAATTCGGTTACCTCGTCGCAGATGTTTTTTTATAACGTACTTGTAGGAATATACAATAATTATTATCGAAAGTATATTGTTAAATTTTTGTGTTTCTCTACCCATTAGACATATTAATACGGAATTTACTTTCTTGTGTTTTTTAACGGTTTTACAACGTGTGTTCACCGAAGCATGTCATACGTTTTCTTAAACTTGGGTGAAAGTTGTTCAAGATTAATTTGTTGATTGTAATTATAAAATATTTTTTATGCGATAGGAAATATAAATCTACCTCGTAGTAATTTGATAATTGGATATTCAATTAAAGTATTTCATATCCAAATGAGTATGCATAATAAAAATCTGACATCTAAATCAAAATAGAAGCTAATGAATCCTAAATCATCAAGAAAATTTAAGTGGGAAATGAAGATTAAAGAGAAACTAATACTCCTAGATACAATATTGAATATTTCCTTTTGCGGTAGAAAGAAATGATTTCTTAGCATAAAAAATTTAGGATGGAATAATTGTCTTTCAATATTATACCTCTCTAGCATGCTTCACTCTTGCAAATTATTAGAACCGCCAGGGATCCTAATTTATTGTGCTACGGTAGGTAGTCTTTGTCTGAACCCACGACTTCCGTCGGGTCCTTTTGGCATCCTTAGTACGTTTTCACCATTTTGGAACGCTGAGCTATTACTCCTGGAGCGTGGATTGCTGTATTCTGATGATGATGACATTCTTCTAACAAAATTGTCGTTATTGCTGGACATACTGAAAACAAAGAAATGATCTTCGTTATTATTTATAACACTATCAAAAAATTAAAAATGTTAGTTAGCATTTTATTTTTAGGTTACATTGATTGCAGCGAAAAAAAATTGGTGTCAAAGTGTGAAGCCAACTTGTATATTTGAGCTATTTTGGTTAGTGGCGATAAAATGTAAAATATGCATTAATAATTGCAAAAAAAAAATAATAAGATCCATAAGTGACGTAGTTGATCGATGTTTTCATTAAATGGTCGGTTGGACAAATATAGCCATTTAGGAACTAATAAAACAAACGAGATAATCTTGCATACGTAAGAATAGCCTACATTTATGCTTTAGTCCAAAAGATGTAGACTTCTGAAAAAATCTTTTATGTATTTTGGAGCTACGTTTGTCATCTGATCAGGTTCTGAAAAATATGTACAGGTATTAATAGTGTCGCGAACAATTACCTTGCAGATACCCACAATATGTTAGTGGTTTCTCTGCATTTTTATAGACTGGACTTTATCACTTTGTACACTTTTCCTATTTTGTAGAGATACGTGACTGAGCAGTTCCTAGAGACATCATCTATGATTCCTCCCAGTTTAGTTTTCTGAAACTCTAAGAGTTAAGTAGGAAGCAGATGCGTGTATTTTTGCGTCGAATATTTTACCAGTCCTATATATACTAAGTTAATTTTTCAATTTTATGACGATTCGGTTTTTCCTCTATACCTCAGAATCGTTTTGGTCCGATACAGGCTCATTCTGTATCAAAACTATCAGCAATTCCTTTTATCTTGGTCACCCGCATCAAAGTAACTTTGTGATTTTTTAGTTGCCTAAAGGATATATTGCATATCCAAACTTTATGGATTTACAGGATGTAGAGTAATTTGGATATTACTTTTGATCAATAAATACTTTGATCAATAAAATCTAATTGAGCAGTTTTTTAGACAGTCTTGGACTCAAAAATCTAGTATTAGTAGGTAATACCGCTTGAAATATTGTAGCAATATTTTTAAGAACTATTGGTAATTTAGAGTTAGAACAATCAACCTATAATCCTATCCCTTTTTGTATTCTTGACTTATAAGTAGAAAAAAATACTAATAATACTTTTGGAGCAGAAAAGTTCAGAAAAAAGTATAATACTACCATAATTATTGAGGTATCTAGATTGATAGAAAAGGTAAGAAGGAACTATAGAAGAAATATATATTTTTTAATAATGATAACAACTCAGAGATGACAAAACAGTAGACCGTACGTATCATAATGACAAACAAATCATCATCTTTTGCTAGACAAATCTTTGTGAATCCTGGGTTTCTTTAAGATTCTTAAGATTCTTCGTCGCCATTCTGCTCTGTTTCTAGTTACCTGTTGTCATCTTCTGATTTTTAATACCCCAACGTTGTTTCAACGCCATTTAATCACCTATTTCGCGGTCAGTCTCTGCTTCTTCTTCCTACAGGTATTCCTGTGGTTAGCTGTTTAGCAATCGTGTTGTCTGACATTCATATTGTATGTCAAGTCCATCGTTTATTTACACAGCACTTCACACAGCACAGTACCCACTGTGTAAACTTGTAGCCTTTCGTAGAGAAACAAACATCATCCAGTAAAAATAAGGTAATGCTTAAGATTGAAGAAAGCGATGAAGTAGAGTTAGTTTTATACCTAGATAAAGAATTGGGAATGGCAGCCGACAATATTGTAATCAGTCTATACATATAGAAGCAAAATATTAAAGTGGTGGGGCTAAAAATGGTTTTAAGATAGCTTTTAAAACTCATATCAATTGCAAAAACTTAGTAGAGGAAAATACGTTGATATCTAAATACAAAGTTTATAGAAATATTGTCGAAAGCTGAGATTAATATAGTAATAAACACTTATGTGATTAAATAACGCATTTAAAAATATTCCACGTGAGACTTCACAATTTGAGATAAATCATATTTTTTGTTACAGATAACGTCTAAGTCTCACCTGCAAGCGCTCATCCTTCTTGGCACGAACAACGACGATTCGCTAGAGTCTCTACTGCTGTTTGACAATCTTCTTGGCATGTACAAGAAGTTAGCTTCTGTACTGGAAGCGCTAAGCCGTCTTTGAAGCCATGCAGCTGGTTCGATGTATCTCGAAGGGTAGTTGGAAGAAGATCCGCGGCGCATCTTACCTGCAACAATATATAAATATGTAAAACTGATAGTATGGTATGAATTAAATTTTTAAAATTTAAAATTGTGGAAGAATATTGGTATCTTGTTCTAGCAGTACTGATATAAACTGCTAGTAGGGTTATTTTCTTCCCGTTAATTGCTTTTAAAATAGTTTTACAGTTTCTAAGAAGCTGTGATATAAAGATATCATTGTTAAAAACTATGAACCAAAGATATCGCTTTTCTCCTGCGATGACTATTAGAAGACATTTTTACCTACAGGAGGAGTAACAAATCATATTGCTCAGGAATGATATGAAAAGTAACCTATATTAAGTGTATTTGAGCACCCTCAATCTATTTGTATTTACCCCTATGTGGGATTCAGCCCCATTTACCGACTTAAGCACCTAGTCCAGGTCTTCTTTAGTCTTCCCCTCTTACTCCCCCTGGAATGTACAAACCAGCAATTCTTTGTATTAAGCAACTAAAGTCACGCCGTTAAATACGTCCGAACTATCTTAATATAATGCTCTTTTAATTTGACACCAATTGGTGCCATCCTGGACTTCCCCTAATATATTAATTTTATCGTTTTTTGTTATTCCACATATTCATCTAAACTTTCTCATTTCTGCCATTTGCATTCGTTGTTCTTCGTTCTTTTTGACTTCTACCATTCAGTTCCATACTTTATAGATGGACTGCATATGGTAGTTTTATACAAATTTTCTTTCAGTTTCAGTCGAATTTCTCTTCCTTCTTCTTCCTTTCTTAGACGTTCATACCTAGGACATATTCTCTTAGAAGCGACTGGTATAAAATCCTTCAGCTTATCTTCATCGTCTTCTTGTTCTTTTTATACAGACATGACTCTGTCTGTTTTTTAATGTGCCTCCAATAAATAGTCGTTACTTCGTTTTCGTGGTCTTCCTAATGATCGTCTTCCTACTGGAAAACCGTTTCTAGTTGTATTTAGAACTCTGTTGTTATTCTGCTTATAATATTATAATCGTTCCATTCTACTCTTTTTGACCCAGTTCTTGATGTTCTCCACCTTGAATCTACGTCGTATATCTGTAGGTCTAGTTTTGTCCCCTAGTGTCATACCATCAATTTTTCTTTATTGTTTCTGAGATTCTTTTTGTCTCCTTTGTTGTTTTTCTCCTATTTGGTATCCCTTTTTAGTTATTATTTTTTAATATTTCATCCATGATCAGGTTGAACAATGGAGGACCCAGTGAATCTTCCTGTCTTACCCTGTTGTTAGCTTCAATTGGATCAGTTTATTCTTCTACTTTTACTTTTATTGTGTTGTTTTCGTGGATATTTCCGATCGTTTTGATTATTGCGTACAATAAGTAGATAACGTTTTTTAATTTAACACTGTAAAATGCCTTCTTAAGGTACACGAAACATAGATATGCCGGTTTGTTGTTTTTTATCGATTTCTCTTGCACTTGCCTCGTTATAAATATAGCGTTGGTGCATGATATTCCCGACCTATACCCTTGTTGTAGTTCTGTTAGTGTTTTAATTTCATGCAGTTTATTTGTTATCACTTTGGTTATTAATTTTAGTGTATTGTTTACTAAATTAAATCCTTTGTAATTTTCCGGGTCTGATTTGTCTTTCTTCTGAATGAGTGATATTAGAATATTTGATCTCCATTCTTGTGGTATTCTGTTTTGTTCTATTATATTTTTGTGGATTAGTTTTAATTGGTCAGATCTGGTCCTCAGCACTTAGGAGTTCATTCGGTATTCTGTCCTCTCCTGATGATATTCCAATTTTTAATTTCCTTAATGCTTCCCTTAAGTTTTCCTTCCTAATATATGTATTTCTTTGTTTGTCGTCACTTCTGGTGTTGGTGGTTCATTATCGCCACCTTTAGCAAAAGGGATCGAAAGTAGTCAGATTATCATGAAATGTATAATCGAGAGCCGCAGAAAAAGTGCAAGAAAGTAGATGTTTTGGCTTAAGAACATTCACGATTGGACAGGAATACGCAGTGCCGAACAACTATTCCGATTAACTGAATACTGTGAACAACTCGTCAACATAATTGTCAAAGTTAGGGGAACCTAATATGGCATTGAAAGAACACGAAGAAATTTCCTGTCACATAGCAAAGCACTCGTTTCCTTCCACTTAATACCGCTTACTTACGCTGTAATACCGATTATACGTACATAAAATTAAGTTGATGGAATGTGAGAATGCAATAAATAATCAAATAAACAAGGGATCGATGTATAAGAAAAGGTATATATTGTACTTGTTGTACAGTTGCTAGATCGATATTGGCAAATGCCAGAAAGGGAAAGAGAGAGAGAGAGAGCGAGATTATTTTCAATAGCTCAACAATAAAATCACTAGCAATTACATAGTGGAAGCAGACATGGCTTCCACTATGTAATTTTTTTACCTCTTTACTATTTTTTATATACCAAACAAAATTTATATACTGCCACTTTGCTTTTCTAGTTAATCTTGTTCAGATTGCTTTTTCCACATGTTTAGAATTTTTGCTAAATTTAATATAGCTGTTATCTTATTGTTGTTCTTTAGAAGCTTATCGTTTCTAGTGTTAATTAGCGATTGACGTAGTATTTTCTTTAATTTATCAGTTACTACTTGTTTGGCTCTTTCGAATATTTTTAATTAGATAATTGCACAAGAGGACAAAGTTTGGAAGAATAATCATATTTACTTTCATTATCTGAATTTTTTTATTTTAAATTGTGTTTTTACTTTTCCACCAGAAAATGATCACAAACAAAGGGTCCTCTTTTTTTATTATAGTTATTGTCGTGAATTGCGTTTTCTTCAATGAGTCACCTTTAAATGCACTTACTTATTAAAACAATATCCAATTATGTAGTTCCTTAGCGACTGTTTAATGGTTTAAACTCCAAGTTAAATTTTGCAATATCAGTATTATGAAACACAAAATCGATGTTATATCACTTCCAACAAGCAATTCGTAACCTTCACAACAGTTACTGTACAAAACTCAATGCCAAGGTACGATGACATAGGAAAACCTTCCGCAAACGTCCGTAATAGTTTTATAAAAATTAATCATAAAGTTTTGTTCAAGCTAAGCTAATACAAGTAATATTTGAACAGAAGTTTTGTAAAAATCTAATAGTTTTACTAATAATATCCTTATCTAAGGTCTTTAGTTTTCTAATTTAACTACATAGTCTTTTCAATACAAACGATTAATAAACAAAAAAATGTGTCATCAATATCTGTGCATGTTTCGGTGACACACAAAATGTGTATTGTCAAAATTGTCAATTGTCATTATTGTCAAAATTGTTAATCAAGAACTATAGAACTAATTGATAGAACTACGTATTTTCAATAATTATAAAATCAAACACTACTTAAGGAACTGGCGAACTATAAAAAAGTATCTTTGTTATGGTCGTTAGGGCGTAAAGAAATTGCCAGTAATAATATTAGTAGCCTAATGGCAAATGTGATTACAAACAAAGAAGTACTGGAGGGGGTTGGTAAAGAAACTAATCACCACCATACAAACCAGAAAACTGGAATACCTAGGCCACGTGATGAGAGAACCAAAATATGAAATTTTGAGACTCACAATACAGGGAAAGATTCAAGGAAGAAGATCTGTTGGCCGAAGGCAGAACTCATGGTTAAAGAATCTATGTATTGGTATCAATGTAGATCAATTGGTTTGTTTAGAGCAGCAAGTTCTAAAATAAAAATAGCCATTATGATTGCCAACCTCCGTAGGGAGACAGCATTCTAAAAAGAAGAATGGCAAATATTCCAGGCCAAGAGCAAGCAAAAATTCGTCTTCTGGAAGAGGAGGAGGAGGAGATCTGTCGCTACAGAAAAATATTATTAGATATTCTTAAAATCTAACACAATGACAGGTGTTCTTATTGGGCTCTGATCACTCAGATATTATATATAAATATATATAAAGGAATACGTCTATCTATCTAATGCAAAATTTATTACGACACAACCTTCAAACTTTATTCAACATACCCCAAGACAAATATTCAATCTAATAATAAGCCTACCTAATCTTCTTCAATTTATTTTTATTTCTTTATGTATTATAAGCTTACTTTACACGATTTTCTGTCGCCAAGACAAGGAAAATAGGATCACAAGTTATTTTATTTAAATTAGTTTTGCAATTCGCTAATTCTAAATTAAATAAAAATCAAGTTGCCTAAGATATTTACCTCCAGTATTTAAAAGATAGTATTATCAAGCATTAGGAAACCATGCCAAACAGGATCAAAAGGGATTAAGTCCTAATTAAATACGGGTATTTTTTAGACAACCTTGAAAACATACAGTGTGTGGCTAAAATTTAGAATATGACAACACAAGAGCTTAAATATATTGTAAAAATGCTATCGTGATGTTGCTGTGAATGTGTCATCTTACGCGCCCTCTTATAGCTTATAATTTATTGCTAATCAAGGTAACTTGTGTTGATTTCTTCTTTTCCTTGGTTAAGGACCTTAATTATGAGTCACAAGATCTAGTAAAATGGTTATTTTCGTCGCAGAATCACATAATTCATAGTTATTTTTAAAGTTTTATATTTTAAGCTCTAAAGTTTTTCCTCCCATGATATTCTCTAAACCATAAAATCTAAAATAATACATTTTTGGGTAGCTGACCTAACGCAGTTTATATGGTTTTTATGAGGTTAAAGTTAAAGCTTCTTTTGTCCGTTTACTTTCGAACGATTATAGTGACGAAAGATCACGTTTTAATCATTCTGATCATGGATTTTCACTCCTCTCTGTCTTAAGTTGTTAGATAAGCTTTGTGTGGAAATAATTCGTCTGGTTTGGTCCATCCAGACCTTCCCTGCAGTCCCAATAAATGAGTTGGTCCCTTCCCTACAGTCCCACCTCATTAACAACTAAAAACCATGTTTTAAAATAAAATAAACCCAGAATTTTTATTGGGAGCTAATAGAATGATAGAGCATATATATAGAATAGAATAGATAGAGAATAATAGAATAGAAGAAGACTTGAACTTAAATGTAGGCACTATAGAATTTTAAATTTAATATTTTTTACTTGTGTTTTTGAGCCTTGGAAATCGTTCATCCAAAAAACCTAAACAATTCATTATGGCCAAAAAAATTAATTGTTACAGTTTTTAAAACAAATTCGCCTTTCGACCTTTATTTTGGGGTATCTTAAGAAAGTGGTTATACAAAAACATCTCATGGGAAGAAATTGCAAGGTAAAATTGAAGAAAAAGGACCCCAGGACGAAAAAGAATATCCTGGCTTGGTTACCTGAGAGCATGGTATAGAAATACCTCAACACACCTATTTCGTATAGCAACCAACAAAGTCATCATAGGTCATAGGCACATGGTCAACGGACAGGCACTCTAAGAAGAAGATCTCATGGAAATATTTTTCCAAACTAACCCGATCTATTCGTTTTGTCTATAATAATAACGCTGATATCAAAACTAAAGAAGTTATTTGCAATTGTAGAACAGTTTTTACCTCATTGTTATACGAGTCTAAATTACTTATTTTATTATGAATATAAAAACACCTCCTGAATAGTAGTTCATATCTAAAAGACTAGTTAGTCTATGCAATATATGGTTCGAAACTGTTAATTTTTTATAAAACGTTTTTAAATACGTTGCCTCAGGTGAACTGAGTATAATAGGATAGTTAAGTAGATGCTTAAGGAGTGAGTCACTTTTGTTTTTTAAAAGTGGCGGCAGTCTAGACTATCTATAAATCAAGTTAACACGCAGTTTTACAAAGAACTATTTCTGCAAGTAATGATACTTGCAATATACATCGTATTACGACTTTCATGAAGTAGTTTGTATGTAGAGTAGTCTTTGATGTAACCAAACCAGTATTTTCGTCAGAAAAATGGAAAATTCAAATGCAATAATAAGATCGATATTAACATAAAATAACAGAACTTTGTTTTTTATTATCTTTATAGTGCTATCTAGCAATTACCATTCATTTCCTTAATTACCTTATAACATGATTCAGATACAAAACTGACGATTAAACTGTAACTAGGTCTCCCCACTTGGTTACCTAAGGGATTCTGATATTGTTAACAAATAACGGAATTTTGTAGACGCCAAACATTACCGACCGAATAAAATGTGCTAAAAATTCTACTTTTATTCACAGATTAAGTCAGGTAAGGTCATCTTAGTTATTAATATTCACCTAAAAACACAAGTTCAGTTAATAATAAATGAATTTTAACCTTTTTCATCGAAAGAAATAAACACTTTTGCAAATTTTATCGAACAGGAACTAAAAAGAGAAAGAAGTGTAGTTTAAGATTATTTGTAAAGTCGACTTCAGAGTTTATCGTACGTCGAGCGCGACTGTTGACAGCGATTTCAAACAAATATCGCCTTAGGCTGAAATACGATTTTCTCATGAACTTGTGATTTTTCTTTTTTTTTCCGTAAAAAAATAGAACAGAAGAAGAGCATCATGACTAAATAATTATCTATAATAGAAAAATGTACATATTAGAAGCCTATCATTCTTATATTCGTAGGCTACGAGAAGGCATTTGGTACTATAAATCATCATAAAATGCTTCGAGCATTGTCGGACAAAACAGGTACAGCTTGCACCCGACTTTCTGAAGTCACCAAAAAGTTCCGGATAGAACATGGAATTAGATAGTGTGATACTACCTCTTCGAAATTGTTTACAGTTGTACTCGAATATATGTTCAAGCGAATATAAGGACAGGATTATATAGGAATTAATATAAACGGAGAGGACCTGAACCACCTAAGATTTGCCGATGACAATGTCTTAGTACCTGATAGCGTGGATAAAGCTACAAAAATGCTGAAAACAGTCGATAAAGCGTCAAAAACAATTAGTCTTAAAATTAATAAGTCAAATAATACATTTATGAACATCCTTGTAAGTGACAAAATCAAAAGTGAGGGCCATGGAGTCAACCAATAAATAACAGCTTATAAATATCTGGGATATCAGAATCCCTTAGGCCGAGATAATTAGATAACTAAAATACAAAGAAGGATAGGTTTCACATAGGCTGCCTTTGGCAGATGACACAACAAACGATAGAAATATTAATATTGGGATTTTTACCACTAGAAATAAAGTATCAAATCTAGAAATGTACAAAGTGTTGAGCCAGAGATTTTACCAGACTGACGGATGATAAATGAACTAGAAATATTATGGAATAGTGACAAGGGACATATCGAAGCAGAGGACATCCACCAACTGAATGGACGGAGGATATAAAGCGAATAAGTGCAAAAGTTTATGGGAGATCACTATACATTTATAACACTCATTACTTCTAAATCGTGATTGGAATTAGTCGCAAGAGATAAAATGCACAATAGAGAACTATGCAACTAACTATGAATCGTATGCAAAAAGAACTAGAAGCTTTAAACAACACAAAGACCAGGAAACTTGAATAGACATTAGATAATTTGGGCATATTAAAAGAAACAAAGAATTAATTAATTTCGATATTAATGATAAAAGAAACTATCGAAGGTTAACGTTGACATGATAGAAATACCTTCATGGATAACTATCGTAGGCTAATCTTTAGCAGTGGACCGGACAATTGTCCTATTGTTTTGATCAGTTATCAGACCAGATTGAAGGTTATCTGGACCAACGTAACACCCAACATTTACAAATAATAGGAAATGGACGAATAAGAAAAGATGAGTACATTTGATACCCTAAGCAATTGAAATTTTATTAACGCAATTAAAAATATTGTAAAGAAACTGGTTTGGACCAATAATGCCATTAATGAGCTTAATTGAATTATATTAAGTATGGTGTGCATATCTACTTGAACATTAATAATAAATAAGGAGATGTTAAAGATCCTAATCACGCCACAGCAAAAGAAACCCGACTAAGATAGTACTACAATAAGTTGTGAGTTTGGCCGACATAGTGAAAGTTAAAGTGATAAAATGGGTCAAAATATATAATGGCTGCCTATTGTAAATACTGTCAATCTTTCCAAAGAAAACACACACTACATTAGATAATTTTAGTAGAATTTACAACTAGTTTTCTTCGCTTTCAAAAATTCTGCCTCAAGCAGTATTGTACTCGCACTACCTTTTATCTCGGGAATCGCGAATTAGACGTAATGATTAAACAATGCAGACAAAGTTGATTCACCTATTGAGGGCTTTCATTTTACACATAATTTGACCTTGAGGGACCACTTTGTTGATTTTATTATAAGTGTAGCATATATTTTAATTTTAAGAAGACTCAAAAACAAACAGTGCTGCTTGAGTATCCAAAGGTGAAAAGAGGACATAAAGTATTGACATAATGAGAAATAATTAAAAAATACGAACAAATGAATAAATTATCGAATTATATATTGAACAAGACAAAAAAAAATTATATCTGCATGAAAAATAATTTTCATGCAGACAAACTAGTTGAACAATGAAAATATTAAGTAGGGATAGCTTTCGTTACATTCTTTCACATAGTTACAAGTTTCTAATTTAAATTTGCAGCTGCGCGATAAAAAGAATCAGTAAATCCACAAGTAGCAGTCACATGCCGCCAACTCAATAGTTTTGACTAAAAGTAAGGTCAAAGGAAAGTCATTGCCATCTCCAAATAAAGTTATCTATCTTCGAATGAGATAAATATACAATCATTTTTTATTTTATGAAAAATATTTCGTCATTACATATAAAATAAATGATAAGAAAATTTGTTTATACTTTGGATACTACAAAAGTACCTAAACAATTATATAACATCTCTTAGAGATTAATATCAACACAATAAAAAAAACTAAAAAAAGCTTGATAAATTTTTAAATATCTCAGACAAATACAGTTAATACAAATAAATAAAATCTCAGAAAAAATTAAATCAATTAAAAAAGTTTTTATTGCTTGTTTTAATACATTCAATACAGATTCATGAGATAAAATATAGCATCAACAAAAATGATATAGGTACAAGATGCAAATATTGCAAGAGGAGATAATTACAGAACCCTATGAGAATTGAATATTGCATCCATTAAGACACAAATTCAGAAACATAGTTTATTATATGGAATTATATTACATTTGGAATAATAAAATCAGATATTTGCTAAGTTACAATGAATAAAATTAAAGGGAATGTGCATATATAAAAAATTTGGCACATAGGCAAATATCAATAATAATTATAGAATAAATGTATACTTTGCATTAATTTATTATTGTCAATACCTTACTGAAGAGGCATATCAATAAAAATGGATATGATATAAGCGTAGAATGACTATTGAGATATTATACTATCTGAGTAAGAGCAAATTTGCAGAAAACACACAACAAAATAAAGATAGTATTATGACTGAAAATAAAAAACAAATTACACAAAAATAGCTTACCTCTGGGATCAAATTTCTTTAGATCTTCAGCTTCCGAACTGCTCTGACATGATGAGGAGATATAATCAGAATCTGAGATAATTTTATTGTTGCTACTAATATTGTTATTCGAGTTGGTGCTCTTTTTGCTGGCAGGCTTCTTTTTTCTTTCAGGATGGGGCACATTGTTGAGTTCGTAAACTTTAAGTGGTTCTCCAAGGGTAGCTTGCATTTGTATAGCATTTCTAGCTGATTCTGAATGAACAAACTCGACTAAAGCACATACCATGCCGGATAGAGAAGGATTTTTGTTGATGAATTGTCTAACATCTGCGGGTATCGGATTACCTGGTCTTAGAATTCTGATTAGAGCAATTTCTCCACAAGATCTAAATAATTCCGCAACGTTCTCAATTGTGGGTTTTTCTATGGGCATATGAACAGCTACTACGGTCCTGGATGGAGTAGTTTCGTCGTATTTAGGTAATGCCTCTAATCTTCTAAGCTTTGTGCCCGCTTCGTTAATTTCTAACTTCGAGGATCTAGCCAAAGCGTGGGCTACTACCCTCCAGTCTTTAGTCAAATGCTTAACCCTTTTAAAACTAGAAATTAGTTTAAGAGAAACATACCCTTCTTTATTTCTTTTGACGTGTTTGAGCAAAAAGGCATCTTTAGTAATGTTAGCATCGGAGAAGTAAAACTCAACTTGTTGAACAATTTTATCAGCTAATTCGTCAGATGGGGCTGTAAATGGGGGTTCAGTGACTTCAGGAGTTACCTCACATCCGGAATCCTTACCCCCTCCATGCGAGCCAGTATCAGAAGAACTGTCACTTAAATCGGCCATATGAGCTCCTTCATCTTCCGTGCAATTTTCAACTTGTTTCTTATCAAAGGATAAGGAGACATCGCTGTCTATGGAAGAAATACTGTCTCTAGTTTCCATTAATTTTGATGAAGATATTAATTCTCCAACTTCCTGTAGTTCAGAAGCGATTTCCTGATGTGGGGACGGCATCTTTTCGATTAAATTTCCCGAAATAAAAACTTAGAACTAGTATCACAAATATATCACTTAAATACAAAGTCAGTCTTAGGCACGAGAAACGACGTGTGAAAATAGGTCACACGAAGTGCTTTTGTTGCTACTGCCAGACACTTTCACGTGGTTTGACCTAGCTTGGAAGTACTGAACGGAGGCCTGGTGCAGCGGTGTTTTATAGAAATAGAGGGGTACCCCACCGCCGATGACGACGAAGCCGGTCGTGTGTGCGGCTTTCGAGATTGCGAGGTGTAAAGTTTGAGTGGAGTTTTCAAGTGTTTTTCGCGATTTAAGGGTCGTTGTCAAGCCGTTTATTGTAATCGTGGAATAATTTCAATTTTGACTTATTTTTTACTCACCTAATTACATAGTCAAGAGTTATTTTACATAGATATTATATTATATTTTAAATATGTATCATGTGTATTCAACGAATAGATAACTAACCTAAAAAAGAAACGGATATTTTTTAATTACTTTAGAATTTAAAAAGTGTTAAAATATGGTTTCAGGTTTAATATATAAAAAGCATTCGGAATATTTGTTATACAGTATGTTTGTAAGGAAAAGTGACTTGCTAATATTTTGATTCCTGGATAGGTTGACAAACAAGTTTTTATTGAATACTTATTGTTTTAAACAATTTAATTCGAGTTATAAATTAATATAAGTAAATTAGAGATCTAATATATATATATATATATATATATATATATATATATATATATACAGGGTGGTGCTTAAGTAATTGTACAAAAAGAAAGAGTAGATTCTACACTTTAAAATATTACGATTTAAGTCAACTTGTTGTCAGAAAGATACAGGGTGTTTTTTCTCTATAACTTTCATGTTTGTAGATATTTATGTATAAACACTTACAATGACAATTGGTGACTTTTGAGTATGGGGAATTATAATTTGACGAACACCTTTAATGTAAATAATGCATATATATATATATATATATATATATATATATATATATATATATATATATATATATATATATAACTACTATTTTAATAAAAATAAGCCACAATTGAAGGTTCAAGTGATATTATTGACGTTTCAACTTCCACTTCGAAAATCGTTCTCAAAATACAAACATTAATTAATTACTATTAAAACTGGGAATAAGCCACAATTAAAGATAAAAATACGTTTATTTACGTTTCAATTTCCACTTCGGAAATCGTTCTCAAAATACAAACAGTAAATTAAACAAATTTTGTTTTTTGTTACATAGTGGAAAATTCTTCTAATAATTTAATTTTATCTGACTCATTTATATTGACAATTCAGACACACATTATGCATTTTAAAGTAGACGACTTTAAAATGATATTGCCAATATTGTTGATTTGCGCTCCTGGGACGACTTTACTTATAAGATAGTTCATTCGATTACATGAAATCAACTTTAACTTGAGAATATCCGTCAAAAAAAAATCATAGCATGTAATTCGTCTTTAAAAAGACAAACACATGACATGATGACAGTAAAATTCTCCTGTTAGTGATTCCATAGTAAATTATGAGGGAAACACCAGGAAAAAAACCTCATAATACTATCCCGTCATTGTAAATATTTGTTCGTTAATTTAGTTTACCTTCAACAAACATCAAAATTCTGATTTTATATGTTACGTTATTTAAAAAACATAAATGATGTATCCTCTATATGTTACTGACTTACTAATACTGGTTTTTTCTTATTAATAACTTCCTCTTTCAATATTGGTAACCAGATCCTACTACATTCTGCCGAGGAATTTGCGACACAATTGGCCTCATTTAGCATAATTAGAGCCGCTTCTTTGATTTTTCTATTTTTACCATCCGTTTCTTTTAAGACTACATTTGAATTATTCCATTGAACCCTATGTTCATTATCCCATGCGTGTTTACAGATTTGAGATCTATCAAATTCTCTATTTTTAATATAAGATTTATGTTCACTTATTCTAACATTTAATGGCCTTGATGATTCACCTAAATAAAACTGATCGCATTCACAAGGTATTTTATAAATGCAATTCTTTGTCCTTTCTTGTTCATTGTTAGGTTTGGTTTTGGACAAAATAGATCTCAACGTGTTTGTTGTTTTGAATGTTGTTGAAATGTTGAATTTATTTCCTATTCTTTTAAGTTTTTCTGATAATCCGTTTATGTACGGTATTGTTATTTTCCTCATATTACAAAACCGAACCTAACAATGAACAAGAAAGGACAAAGAATTGCATTTATAAAATACCTTGTGAATGCGATCAGTTTTATTTAGGTGAATCATCAAGGCCATTAAATGTTAGAATAAGTGAACATAAATCTTATATTAAAAATAGATAATTTGATAGATCTTAAATCTGTAAACACGCATGGGATAATGAACATAGGATTCAATGGAATAATTCAAATGTAGTCCTAAAAGAAACGGAGGGTAAAAAAAGAAAAATCAAAGAAGCGGCTCTAATTATGCTAAATGAGTCCAATTGTGTCGCAAATTCCTCGGCAGAATGTAGTAGGATCTGGTTACCAATATTGAAAGAGGAAGTTATTAATAAGAAAATACCAGTATTAGTAAGTCAGTAGCATATAGAGGATACATCATTTATGTTTTTTAAATACCGTAACATATAAAATTAGAATTTTGATGTTTGTTGAAGGTAAACTAAATTCACGAACAAATACTTACAATGTCGGGATAGTATTATGAGGTTTTTTTCCTGGTGTTTCCCTCATAATTTACTATGGAATCACTAACAGGAGAATTTTACTGTCATCATGTCATGTGTTTGTCTTTTTAAAGACGAATTACATGCTATGATTTTTTTCTGACGGATATTCTCAAGTTAAAGTTGATTTCATGTAATCGAATGAACTATCTTATAAGTAAAGTCGTCCCAGGAGCGCAACTCAACAATATTGGCAATATCATTTTAATGTCGTCTACTTTAAAATACATAATGTATGTCTGAATTGTCAATATAAATGAGTCAGATAAAATTAAATTATTAGAAGAATTTTTCACTATGTAACAAAAAACAAAATTTGTTTAATTTACTGTTTGTATTTTGAGAACGATTTCCGAAGTGGAAATTGAAACGTCAATTAACGTATTTTTATCTTTAATTGTGGCTTATTCCCAGTTTTAATAGTAATTAATTTACAATGCCACAAGAAAATAGCTTCAGAACAATACAAACATTAATGACTTAAACAAATTTTGTTTTTGTTACTTGGTGAAACATTCTTCTAATAATTTATTTTAACTGACTCATTTATATTGACATTCAGACATACATTATACATTTTAAAGTAGACGACTTTGAAATGATATTGCCAATATTGCAGAGTTGCGTTCCTGGGACGACTTCCTGGACGACTGGGGCGTTCCTGGGACGATAAAGAACAGTCATATTTTAACAAAACAGATGTTAACCAATGTTTTTCCTCCAAGAACGAATTTTCGTTAGAACAAGCAATTTTGGGTGTATCGTATAAGGATTTAATGATTTCCTTTTTAATATCAATATTGTGATTTGATTTGAAATTTAAATATCTGTTGGTGTGTGTTGGTTTTCTATACCATGGAGTCTCATATCCAGTATCGTTCTTAGAGATTATAACATCCATAAAAATGTTAACATCATCGAAAAGGAATATAATAACACACTACCTTTCCTGGACGTTCAAACATTTGTAGAAATCCGTTGCACATCCATTCGAAAAAGTGCATTAGTACATGATAGTGGAAATCAGCTCCTAATAATCTCATGCTTGTAATAATGAACCAATAATTATCTAATGAAGATTTTGATTGCAAAATGAAACTTTCTGAAACCATAATATAAAATGTTAATATACACTCATTTTACATATAAGATAGTTTTTAGGATGAAGTAACGTGCCGTTAGTTGAAATGTTTTTGGCCAGTACAAGGTTGGTAATGATTTGGAAAAGTTAATTTTAAGGCCAACTAGTGTACAAGATCTCTGAAGGTCTTGAAGAAGTTGACAGGCATGCTCTATCCGGTCTGTAATAAGGACCATTTAGAAACTCCCCATTTATAATGACCCCAATACTTTTCCCATTATTGTTTCTTATGGCACTCTACAATTAAGCGGGGAATAGTTTATGTTGAATTTCATATATGTTATATTTCCATCTTTTTCCTATTTATTGACTCCGAAGTATACTGTTTCAAACAGCATATCGTTCTTCTAGCTTGCATTATCTTTCATTTTATTTCTTGATTATAAGATAATAGAAACTTCAAACTTTGGGCTCTAGAACAGTTGAAAACTGATCGAAGTTTAATTTTCATCGAAAAGTTATTTTATTTTAGTTATTTTGGGTAAATGGGAACGTCAATAGACATGCTTCTCAATTTGGGACAATTCCACTTCAGATGAAACCCAAGATTGTCCAATGAATCGTGAAAAATGCTATAGGTCGATGACTTTCAACTTATTTTGGTTTGAACGATGTGGTTTTAACAGTGCCACACATCTCATGTAACTTTTGACATTTTGCACGAACGAGCGATTTCATCGCATAACGTTTTTGATGGACAGATCATGTATTTAGAATGAGAAATAAACAGACTAAAAAAACTATTAAATGCAAGAATGCAGGGAAAGAGACCTACTGGAAGACCGAGAAAGTGATGGGAGGATGATGTGGAAGAGGATGCAAAAAATCTCTTTGGCAGTTGATTGTAGTTGTTTGCTGAGGGAGACCAAGGTTCGAATTGGGCTGTAGAGACATATGATGGATGGATAGAGTTGAGAGCATGGTCTCTTAAGTGAAGGTGATGTGAATTGGCTACCGAGATAAGGCGATTTAACTCAGTTATACTCTTTCTTGTAGGGTCACAAGTCTATGTTAATAAGTCACAAATTACAGCATTAATAATTATATCTTTTTCAAAGATACCTATGTTATTGCGTTTTCTTCCAGTTCTTTAATTTAGGTCC